TCAGTTTAATTTCCATCATGTCATGCTTCCATTTGAAAGACTTAACTTTCTATTAAAAAAAATTTCAATTTAATTACATAAGTAGTACAATCTCCAAGGAAATCCTTAAAATATTACAAATGAAGTTAAAGTCCAATTTGATCATCAAGCCAGTCCTGCAACATCTTTTTTCAGAAGAGTGAGCAAATTTCATATGGTGAATGTATCTTTTTGGATTAGGTTTAGTTAAAAATCATAGAAAAAACTCAAAATGACAGTATCTGAAACAAAATATAAATTATTTTCCAGCAGTCCAGATGGTATCAATCAAGGCTGGGTTGATGCACCAGGGTGTTAGGGTCCCTGTTTCTTTCTCTTGTTGCTCCATAATCATGGCCTCCAATTTAAGTCAAGACAGCAGCTGGAGCAATTGTCATTATATTGCCTTCCAACTAGAGGAGAAAGTATACCTTCCTCCTCTCTAAGTAGACTTCCTAGAAGTTTAACAGAATTTTCATTTGGATTCCATTGTGTAAAAGTTAGTCATATGGACATACCTACCTGGAAGAGAAGCTAGGAAATGTAGTCTTTATTCCAGGAAGCTACATTCTCTGCTAAAAGCCCTAAAAACTAGGGCTTAATTTTTATGGAGGAAGAGAGGTCAGTGTCTGATATAGTAAGTGTCCAGGGGCAGCAAGAATTCTACTTCTTGCTACTTCTTTTTTCCTGCCTGGCCCAGATATCTGCTAGGCCTGGCAGAATCTTAGGACTTTTTTCCTCATTAATGGATGGTACCTAGAAATCTATTTTTCCAACTTTTCACATCTGATGCATCTGGGGATAACTTTGATCTTTCTTGGCACATCTATTCCAAAGAACAATAACAGCAATAGAAATAAAACAGTAAGTGGCAGAGTATGTAATAACAACTCACCAAATCATACCACGTATGCTTTTGTGATTATACAAATATATACATAAACTATAGAAAATAACGGATCCATGCAAAATTGATAGATACAGCTTTGGTGTTGTGGGATTGGGGTTGGTTATCAAATTTGATTATAACTTTTCTGTAATATTCTGAAGATTTACAACAAAATGAGATGTGTTTGGAGAGGTAGGAGGAGTGGAAATTAGACTTACTATATGGAAATGTTTAGGACCTCTAGAGTACCAATACTGATTATCATTGATAGGAAGAGAAAGTTGAATGATAAAGCTATGTAGCAGGAATGAAGAATAGACACTATAACTCCAAATGATTTTCATGCTTGTGTCTGTTTATGATGTACATTCTTATGAAGTGAAGTGATATTGGTCAAGCTTGCAGCATGTTCATTAGCAAAGGTTTGGGGGATGTGAGTTTTTACATTAGTGGGTAACTTGATTGACTGTTCTATCAAGGTATAGAATATGGGAGAGACAATTGTCCAAATAAAAATCAGGGTTCTGTGACCAGTACAAAAGGGAAGATTGTTGGGGAGGCAAAACCAACAGATATTTACAGCTCTCATAGAAGACCACGTACCAGTCTGTTTCATTGCTTCAACTGTGATTTTTATCATATGGGTATGTGGTGTTGGGGGCAAGGTTCTGTTTCAGAGCTGAAGTTAGCGATCTTAATTTTCAAAAGGATCTGTACTTGGTTATATTGCAATAAATCCATTGTTTAACAAATTTTCTGTACTTTTAAATTTCACTCAGAAATCATTTTCTTTATTGCTCTTGTTTACTGAGCTATCTACTCTTAACCTTTGATTATGCTATAGGAAGCAAGGGGCACATGGACTACCATTTACAAATACTTGCTACTCTTCCCAAGACAGGATTATATATTTCACTGATTTCAGACTTGGCCATGGTGCTTTCTTTGTCCAATAAAATGTGAGTGTAAGTGACACAAGTCTCTTATAAGTAGACTCTTTAAGAGCCATTATGTGGCCATGTTCTCTTTTCCTCTGTGCAATAACCAAAGATGTCTTAGGTGGAAACTGTTTCTTCAGCCTCTTAGTTTATCCCTCCAAGATGAAGAGCCTCAGTCAGCCTGTTATTGATGCATAGCACTATTGAGGAATAATCTTGTATAAGCTGCTGTGATTTGTGACTGTAATATAAACGGACTAGTCATAACTGATGTACTTGTAAAACTAGTTTTCTGTTTAAAATTAAGAGAATTTCTGGTTTTAAATACAGACCACAAATAGGAAAACTGACAAAGTGATTAGAAGATTATCTTGTGAATAATGGAGAAACAATACATGTTTTTTGAGCAAGCAACTGACAAAATACAGTTGATGTTTTTGAGATTTAATATTGGGGCATGCAAAATTATATTGCAATATGGAAGAGTTACTTTTGGAAAGAACAATGAATTAAAAAGTTTCTGAAATATTTTATTCTGTCCATTGGTACTAATTAGTGGTGATTTTCTATGGATATTTAGATATTTGGATGATTAGTTGATGTTGATTCAAGTCAAGACACATGGAGGTAGAAAAGCAAAGGAAGACAAGTTATGATCAATTTAAAGTGTTGCATTTCTAGATCAACAAAACCAGTAAGTTACATGTTGTACAGGTCTATATTGATTTAATGAAACCTAGTATTGATCTCTTTTTTAACACCCCACAAAAATAAGTCACCAGGTCTGTTTTACCTCTTAGGTATTTCCCAAATCTGTCGCTCCCTATCCTGACCACCACTGCTTTAAATCAGATCTCCATCATCTTTGCTAAAATTTTGTAATAGCCCCCAAATTAATCCCTATAATGTTACTCTCCTTCCAAGCTATGTTTCTCATACTGCTCAATATTCTTCTAAAACACAGACTTGATGATCTTATTTCCTTGCATTAGATCTTTGTGGTTCAACATCCCCTGGAAGACACGGTCCAATCCTTAACATAAAAAATAAGGCTTTCCCAGAGAGGCAGCATGGCCTAGTGGTTCTGAGAATGAGTTCTAGAACCAGACTGCCTGGGTTTGAGTAGAGGTTTTGCTATGATTAGCTGTGTGACCTTAACTAAATATTTACAATTGTATGTCTATAAAACTATTATCTTTTATTAATATCGTATGGTTTCTCCTTAACTTCCTGTACTACTTTCTGACTGCTTTACAATTATCCACGGGCACTTTGCAGGTTTAAATCTCCATCCTTTTATTCTTCTGTAGTTACTGATACCTCTATCTCTTTTCCATTCCCACCCCAAGATAATGCTATATTACCTTTTAACATTTTGTTTGATAATTGCTTTTAAACTTAAAATTAAGTCACTTTTCCTTGAATAGATAGGATATTCTCACATGAACTCCTCTGACACTCCATCCATATCTCTATTTGTTACAGTTAGCACATGGTAGGACATTATAATGTGGCTGTATCTATACATTTCTATGAAATAGCAGGCAACTTGAGAACAAGAATTATGTCTTATTGATCTCTATGCCTGGTACAATTCCTAGTACATAGCAGAAACAATAAAAATATTGAATATAAAGGAAATTGCTGTTTGAAGAAAGGATTATTATTTCAAAAATCACTCTTGAAATCACTCTTCATTATGTGGTTCAGTGTAGCTTAATGTCATAAATTTTTTAAAAAGTTCAGGGAAAACCATTGCTTTCTAAAATTCTTTAAAAACTTTTTTATCAATATATAATTGATATATATAACATATTATATTGGTATTATATTGACAATATAATATTAGTTTCAGATGTACAACATAATGATTCAACATATGTATATATGTGTATATAAATGAACACCCCACTAAATTTAATTAACATCCATCACTACACGTAGCTATAAATTTTTTTTTGTGATGAAAGCTTTTAAGATCTACTCTTAGCAAATGCCAAATATACAAGTATTATTAATTATGATTAATATAGTTACAGAATACTATATATTACATTCCCATAACTTACTTATTTTATAACATCTCTTGAATCCTTTTTTTAAGATTTTTTTTTTTGAGTATCTACACCCATCATGGGGCTTAAAATCGCAGCCCTGAAATCAAGTCTCATGCTCCACCAACTGAGCCAGCCGGGTACCCTGTATTCTAAATGTTTTCTTTCTTTCTTTCTTTCTTTCTTTCTTTCTTTCTTTCTTTCTTTCTTTCTTTCTTTCTTTCTTCCTTCTTTCTTTTTTCTTTCTTCTTTCTTTCTTTCTTTCTTTCTTTCTTTCTTTCTTTCTTTCTTCTTTCTTTCTTTCTTTCTTTCTTTCTTTCTTTCTTTCTTTCTCTCTCTCTCTCTCTCTCTCTCTCTCTTTCTTTCTTTCTTTCTTTCTTTCTTTCTTTCTTTCTTTCTTTCTTTTCTTTCTTCTTTCTTCCTTAGATAGATAGAGAGAGAGAGAGAGAGAGGCAAAGACATAGGCAGAGAGAGAAGCAGGCTCCCCATGGGGAGCCTGATGCTGGATTTGATCCCAGGACCCCAGGATGCCCTGAGCTGAAGGGAGATGCTCAACTGCTGAGCCACACAGGCATCCCTCTAAATGTTTCTTTTTATTTAACAGAGATGACTCAACCTAGTTTCTTTCCTTTTTTGCTTTTCTCATATCCTCATAGAGGTAAGATTAATGCTGTGTACTAGTGAGGCAGTTGGCTTAGGTTTCTAGTATTTTAATTTTCTTGTATTAAATAAGTTGTGTTTAAGTTATAAGCAATCTAAAATTATTTTGGGTAGTGAGAGGTATGAATATATTAAATTTGCATGGTATGATAAAAAGAATAAAATGGACATGTAAGTGAAATTAACTGTATCTAGCTTGAGTATTGATATACACATGTATATTATTTATGGACTTGATTCTAATCATTCATACATGCATTCCTCAAATTGATGAATATAGTAAATTATAATAATTATGTGTGACTTATGATGACTGTGTTTGTAGTTTTTGTGTTATAAGGAAATTGTCACTTGGAATAAAGGAGCATGATTGTTGGCCCCTGAATGTTTTTAATATATTTGTTTTCTAATATGTTGTAACCAAAGACCTGCCTTTTATAGGACATTAACAAGTGCTGGTAAAGACCTGCAAGATAATTTTCTGAAGGCTTTGGCATTGAGAGAAGAAGACAATCGCAATGGAAAAGTGAGCGTGAGTACATTTCACCCAACAGCTAAAAATGTATACTTATTGTATAATGTACTTATTGTAAAATTGTGTACTTATTGTATAATTATACAAATTATGTAGAAAAAATTTTATTCCCACTTATATCTGTAGAAGTACCCACATGATGAAAAAAATAAGATTCTATACAGCTATTGTAGAGAAAATGCATGTACTTGATAGACTGGTTGTCATCTCCAACTTTGTGTTAGTCTTATGTTGAAACTTGCTGCTTCATTTCAGCTCAGCCTCATAGTACACTCCTCCAAGTCACATTATCCACTCACCCCCTCTGGATAAGTACTATAGAGAACATAAAAATAGAAAGTTGAAGAAAAAGAGATTGAATAGAGAGTGGTTGGTTGCTTTAGCTAAAGTATATAGAAAATCACTTAGAGGAGGTGACATCTGTTAGGACTTCAATGACATGAGAAGGTAGCCACAGAATTTCAAAGAAGAGATACTCCAAATAGAAAAGGATTTGAGAGGAAGAGACATTCCAAGAAAAAGGAACAGCGTATTGAAAACTTCTGACATATTCAAGAGATGGTAAGAAGATCACAATGGCTAGAATATATTTATTCAAAGAGATTATAGAGACAGGTGATCTGAGAGGAAGTCGGCAGGCAGATCATATAGATTTTAAGGAATTTTGATTATAAAGATAAATTACTCTTTAATTATAATTTTTATATTCTTCTATTTCTAAACTTATAAAGTCAAAGGGCAAATTAAGTAGAGAAGTGACCTACTAATCTTTTTAAAAATTTGACTTATTTTTTATATTTTTCATAGTTATATTTGTTTTTTTTTAAAAAAGTTATTTAAATCTTAAATAATATATAAATTATTTATAATGTATTATAATGTATTATTGGTTCCAGAGGTAGAAGTCAGTGATTCATCAGTCTTATATAAAACCCAGTGCTCAGGATCCCTGGGTGGCGCAGCGGTTTGGCGCCTGCCTTTGGCCCAGGGCGCGATCCTGGAGACCCGGGATCGAGTCCCACATCAGGCTCCCGGTGCATGGAGCCTGCTTCTCCCTCTGCCTGTGTCTCTGCCTCTCTCTCTCTCTCTCTCTCTCTGTGACTATCATAAATAAATAAAAAAAAAATTAAAAAAAATTTAAAACCCAGTGCTCATTACATCACATGCCCTCCTTGATGTTCATCACCTGGCTACCCGGTACTTCCACCCTCCAGTGACACTCAATTTGTTTCCTAAGATTAAGAGTCTCTTATTTGTCTCCCTCTCTGATTTCATCTTGTTTTATTTATTCCTCTCTTCTGTTGATCCTCTGTTTTATTTCTTAAATTCCACATATGAGTGAGATCATATGGTAATTGTGTTTCTCTGATTGACTAATTTCACTTAGCATAATATCCTCTAGTTCCAGCCACATCATTGCAAATGGCAAGATTTAATTTTTTATGATGGCTGAGTAGTAGTCCATACCACACACACATACCACATCTTTATCCATTCATTTGTTGATGGACATCCGGGCTCTTTCCATAATTTGGCTATTATAGACATCACTGCTATAAACATTGGGGTGCAGGTACCTCTTTGGATCACTACACATTTATCTTTGGGATAAATACTCAGTAGTGCAATTGCTGGGTTGTAGGAAGCTCTGTTTTCAACTTTTTGAAGAAACTCCATACAGTTTTCCAGAGCGGCTGCACCAGCTTGCATTTTCACCAACAGTGTAAGAGGGTTCCCCTTTCTCCAAATCCTCACCAACATCTCTTATTTCCTGGCTTGTTAATTTTAGCCATTCTAACTGATGTGAGGTGGTATCTCATTGTGGTTTTCATTTGTATTTCCCTGATGCCAAGTGATGTTGAGCATTTTATGTGTCTGTTTGCCATTTATATGTCTTCTTTGGGAAATGTCTGTTCATGTCTTCCCCCCATTTCTTGATTGGATTATTTGTCCTTTGGGTGTTGAGTTTAATAAGTTCTTTATAGATCTTGGAGACTAGCCCTTTATCTGATATGTCATTTGCAAATATTTTCTCCCATTCTTTAGGTTGCCTTTTGATTTTGTCCACTGTTTCCTTTGCTGTGCAGAAGCTCTTTATCTTGATGAAGTCCCAGTGGTTCATTTTTTGCCTTTGTTTCCCTTGCATTTGGAGAGGTGTCTAGCAAGAAGTTGCTGTCCAAGGTCAAAGAGGTTGCTGCTGCCTGTGTTCTCCTTTAGGATTTTGATGGATTCCTGTCTCACATTTAGGTCTTTCATCCTTTTTGAGTCTATTTTTTTGTGTCTGAGGAAATGGTCCAGTTTCATTTTTCTGCATGTGGCTGTCCAATTTTCTCAACACTATTTTTTGAAGAGACTGTCTTTTTTCCATTGGATATTCTTTCTTGCTTTGTCAAATATTAGTTGAACATAGACCTGAGGGTCCATTATTGTGTTCTCTATTCTGTTCCATTGATCTATGTGTGTTTTTGTCCCAGTACCATGCTAGATTACAGCTTTGTAACAGAGCTTGAAGTCCAGAATTGTGATGTCACCAGCTTTGGTTTTCTTTCTTTTTCAACAATCCTTTGGCTACTTGGGGTCTTTTCTGCTTCCATACAAATTTTAGGATTATTTGTTCCAACTCTGTGAAATAAGTTGATGGTATTTTGATAGATATTGCACTGAATGTAGAGATTGCTCTAGGTAGCATAGACTTTTTAACAGTATTTGTTCTTCCAATCCATGAGTATGGAATGTTTTTCCCTTTCTTTGTGTTTTCCTCAATTTCTTTCATGAGTGCTCTATAGTTTTCTGAGTACTAATCTTTTGCCTCTTTGGTTAGGTTTAGTCCCAGGTATCTTATAGTTTTGGGTCGAATTATAAATGGTATTGACTCCTTAATTTAACTTTCTTCTGTCTCATTATTAGTATATAGAAATGCAACTGATTTCTGTTCATTGATTTTATATGCTGCCACTTTGATGAATTCATGTATGAGTTCTAGTAATTTTGGGGTGGAGTCTTTGGGTTTTCCATATAGAGTGTCATGTCATCTGTAGAGGTGTGAATTTGACTTCTTTGCTGATTCAGATGCCTTTTATTTCTTTTTGTTGTCTGATTGCTGAGGCTAGGACTTCTAGTATTATGTTGAACAGCAGTGGTGGTAGTAGACATCACTCCCATGTTCCTGACCGTAAGGAAAAGCTCTCAGTTTTTTTCCCATTGAGAATGATATCTGCTGTGGGCCCTTTGTATATGGCTTTAATGATATTAAGGTATTTTTCTCTATCCCTAAAATGTGAAGAGTTTTAATCAAAGAAAGGATGCTATACTTTGTCAAATGCTTTTTCTGCATCTATTGAGAGGATCATGTGGTTCTTGTCCTGAGAAGTGACCTAATCTTGTTTACACTTTAGAAAGCTTGATCTCACTGCTGCTCTGCAGGGTGGAAGATGTGGAGAGGATGCCTAGAGAGAGGCAAGGAGGTAAGATAGGGAGCTTTTGTGTGTGTTTTTTTTAAGGTTTTATTTATTTATTCATGAGAGACAGAGAGAGAGAGGGGTAGAGACACAGGCAGAGGGAGAAGCAGGCTCCCCATGGGGAGCCTGATGTGGGACTTGATCCCCAGACTCCAGGATCATGCCCCGAGCTGAAGGCAGATGCCCGCCATTGAGCCACCGAGGCATCCCTGATAGGGAGCTTTTGTAATCAACCAGCAAGAGATGAAATTCTTACAACAAGGTGGTACTAATAGAGATGGAGGGAAGTTACCAAATCATGTCTGTATTTTGGAGGCAGAATTTGATGTATTTGATGTGGAATATTAAATAAATGAAAGTAGGATGACTATTAGGTGTTTGTCTTGAACACATTGTAGATGATGATACTACTCACTATGACAGGATAATTCTTGAGGAATGCTGATTTCAGGAATCAGTAATGAAATTGCGCCATGTTGGCAATTTAATTTTGTGATGCCTCTTTATACTCAAGTGGAGAAGTTGGTTGGTCTTTTACATATATTGCTTTGGAACTTAGGGGAGAAGTCTTGGCTAGAATATAAATCTGAAAGATACTAACATCTAAACGGTATGTAAAGTCATGGACTTGCAAATGTTGACTAGACAGCAAGTGTAGGTAAAAAGCCTGAGGTCTTATAATGGGTCTTTACGGTACTCCAACATTTAGAGATCTGGAATGTGTGAAAAAGCCAGCAAAAATGATACTGACAAGTAGCAAGTAGAAGAAAAGTCAGGTGGGAGCGATGCTACAAACATGGGAGAAGAAACAATTTCAAAGGAAAGAATGCTCACCATTGTCAAATGCTGCTAAGAGGTTAAATAAGATGATGCATTAGTTTCCCCTGTCTTCCATAACAAATTACTACAAACTGGGGCCTTACGACAACTGAAACTTATTTTCTCACGGTTCTGGAGGCCAGAAGTTTGAAATCACGATGTTGGCAGAACCATGTTCTCTCTAAAGGATCTAGGGGAGAATCTTTTCTATGCCTTTTTTCTTAGTTTGTCGTGTTTCTGGAAATCACTGATGTTCTTTGGTTTGTAGACATATCGCTGTAATCAATGCCTCCAACATCACATGGATTCTCCCTCTGCACTTGTGTTTGTCTTCTGTTCTTTTTTTTTTATTTATTTACTTATGATAGTCACAGAGAGAGAGAGAGAGAGAGAGAGGCAGAGACACAGGCAGAGGGAGAAGCAGGCTCCATGCACCGGGAGCCCGACGTGGGATTCGATCCCGGGTCTCCAGGATCGCGCCCTGGGCCAAAGGCAGGCGCCAAACCGCTGCGCCACCCAGGGATCCCTGTCTTCTGTTCTTATAACAACACCAATCATATTGGATCCTCCTCCTCAATTGAGTATGGCCTAACCTAGTTTTATTACATCTACAAAGATCTTATTTCCAAATAAGTTCATACTTATAGGTACCGAGGGTTAAACGCTCAACATCTCTTCTGTGGGGGTGCATAACTCAACCCACACCAAATGATAAAAAGT